AGAGGGAGCAAATGAAAAGAGAAAAAGGTAAATAGCCAAAGAATAAAGAACAGTGAAAAACAGAGAGAAAAGAGAAATGCAGAAAAGATCAACTGAAGATAGGAAGATGGGGAGACAGGAAGAGAGGGGAGAATGACTCAGGCAGCCAATATTTTTTAAACAGCTTTGCTTCCACTCAACTGGGCATCAAGGCCATTATCCCGGGGTTAATCCCCAATCCGACGGAGCTGGCAGCCTTCCGGGACAAGCCAGGGTGGCAGCCCATCAACAAGGCAGGCACGGACAGAAATAACACACACACGCACACTCACACGCAGGCATGCAAGCTGCAATTAGAAAAAACGAATACATCAAAGCCATTAGCTGTGAATGCCTCATTCTTAGCGCCCTTTATTTTCTGTTGGAAATACAGTTCTGTTCATGTTTGCCTCTCGTTTCGTCTTCTTTAGACCTCCCTGCATGTGTTCCTGTCTTCAGTTTTCATGTTTCTTTTATCCCACACCCTCCATCTGTCCACCTTTATTCTCTCCACCTTCCCCATCACGCCACATTTTGCACCTCTATCTTGCTCTCCCTTTCTCCGTCCGCTCTCTGTTTCTTTGGCCGGCGCCCAAAAAGTCAAGGTGGAGGAAGAGATTGACTCATAGAAGGATAGCCATGTCATGTGGAGAGGGACCAAAGAGGATCCAGGAGGCTTAGGGAGACTTAGCGCTACTCCCTCCGTCCATCGCTCTCTTACAACTCAGTCCCCTCCGACACACACCGCCCTTAAACAATACCTGGACCCTCCACCTCTACACCTGAAGACCTCGTGCTTTTTTTGCGCATGTTCACATTCAGTGTACCTGCCTCTTTAAGCCTCCCGTCCGGCTTAGGACCCTTAGGACACTTCCGCAGCTCCGGGCTGTCTCCGACACCTGGTCCCATTACCTTTAGCCACGCAGGTGTTAAGCCTGGTGTCATCTTATGGAAATCCAGGCATAGTAAGGACGGACAGGGATCATCCTAGAGTGACCTGAAACGAAGTGTGACTCTAAGAAGTGACTCTAAGAAGTCCTTTGACCTGACTAACTTCACCTTGAGTTACTCAACAAACCTTTAAGCTTTAGCTAGTTGACATTCATATTCAAAACGAGTGAGATAAGTCATATCAGCCCTACCTATCTCTGTTTGTCCTTTTTCTATGTCTCCCTTCTTTACAGTTGTGCATGTGTGTGTGTCTGTATGTGTGTGTAGTTTCTGGGCTATCTTTCTCTCTAGGCCCCTAAGCCTGCTATGTCTCCCATGGTAACTCCCTGACTGACGACCCGGGGCTTAGCCTAAATTCTCTCTATTAAAAGCTGTGAAATGCAAATAATGAAACATCTCATTACCACTGTTGGAGAACCCAAAATGAAAGGAGGGGGAGAGTGGGAGAGGGGCGGATGAGGAGGACTGTAAGACAACGGAGATGCAAGAAAAAGAGGGCTGTACAGGAGGGAGGGAGAAACAGGAGTGAGAGCCGGAAATAAAGGAGTGGAACAAGGAAAGGATGGGAGAATAAGAAGGATGTGAAAGTCAGAAATAGGGGAGGAGAGGAGAGGAGAGGTGAAGGCACGGGAACAGATAGCTAAACAGTGAGTCTTTTGTTTGATATGTGTTGCCTTTAACATAGAGGGTAGCCAGGATTCTCCACCTATGCAAACACGGGTGGAGCTCTGATGAACTGAGCTGTGTTAGGAGTCATTTAAATGTCAAAAAAACGTCAATTTATCTAGTAAACTTTAAGATAAAAAGATCATAGTTGAACAGGATATTTGTTTGGAGTTGTTTCTATCAGCTCTATCATTAATCACCAAACAGACTTAATAAGAAATTGCAATACTGTACTCTAGTCTAGTCAAATAATGATTTAGGTTTAGGTATAATTCAAAGACAGGAAGGGGCTACTTCTTTGAAAAACCTATCAGTGTGGAACAGGGAAGTGAAATAACCTGCAGGGAGTGTCTGTGGTGTTGCAGCTCGGAGCTTCAATGTTGGGGTATCTTGGTATAAAACCCAGTTTCATCACTGCATCAGACTTATGATGTTCTCATCTACAACCTCTGATATCCCAAGGGACTTCAGGGGAGGGGGAGTATTGAGGGGGGACATTGTCAGTTTCTGACTTCTGGGAACTTTTTGTGGTTTTTTGGTCATAAATAAATCATGTATTTTTCTTTTGCTTTCCTCCCCCAGAGTTAGTAGTGAAAAAACGAATCAATACTTTTCGTGTTTTTAAACCAAAGCCAATATTATTATTTTTTAAACCTGAGGAAAATATTAACATAAAATTTAATTTTCAGTCATACTTGGCAATTAAAGATGATCAGTCTGACAAACAGGCTAAAAAGAAGCCTTGATTTATATCAGTGTAGTTGTTTGAAAGGGAAAAGGAAGACACGTGTTAATACTATTTCTGTGAACATTCAATAGATGACAGACAGAGCAGCCTGATTTTCTAGTTCAATTCTGTGCTGTTCATACACACGAAAGCATGCAACACCCGAACATTATAGCCATTTGTAATAGTTGAAAATCTCATCTGGGAACCAAGGGCATTATTATTCAGCTGCTAGAGGCTCCACTCTTCTAGAAAGGTTTTCCACAACATTTTAAAACCTGGCTGCAGGGATGTTGGCTCGCAGTCAGTGTTCCTGTTCATACCAGAAGTGTTCGATGGGATTTAGTGTGAAGGCCAGTAAAGTTCTCCAAACTTGAAAAAAACATTTCTTTGACATGTTAGAATGGAAAAGGGCTTTCTCAAAATAGGTGGAAAATTGGAAGCCTATTTTATCAAAAATATCAAAGCAAGCTGAAGACATCCCATGACTGGAACTAAACAACCAAACCCTTACATATATCAGCCCAGTAATTGGAGTGCAATTGAGTTTTTCAAAACAACGCTATAATTCACATTTTGATGACCTTTAGGTGAGCCTACTTTTGATTTCCACTCTGTGTGATCATGTGACCACTCGTTGATAAACTACAAAAATTAATCAACAGAATTTTCTTTTAATTTACCCCTACTGCATCTTACTCACAACTTACAATTGCTTTTTGTCTTCCAGTTTCATTTCTTTTTTTCCATTTAATCTCAGTTTAGTTTGAAAGAAACAACCACATAGCTTTGTGGCTAAAGTGATGATGACAGTATAGGTCTATAGAGCTGCTCGCAACTTCCATTTACCACCAACCCTGATCTCTGCCAACGAGCCTTTCAAAGTGAGTGTGTGTGTGTGTGTGTGTGTGTGTGTGTGTGTGTGTGTGTGTGTGTGTGTGTGTGTGTCTGTCTGCATCTTGTTGTCCAGACCCTTTCATAGGTCTTAAAACAAAACCTGTCACAGCGAAAAAGGAAGCTGTCACGACCGAGCTAGACACGACTGTACATGACTGTAGCTCACAGAACCCAGGCGGCTTGTTCCCGAGCTGTTAGAGCCACCAGCTACAAAGGTCTCACACTATAACACACACACACACATATATTGTAGAACAATTGATGATCAGTATAAAGGAAATGAAACAAAAAGCTACCATCAGGAAGAAAATGTCAAGAGTGAACATATGGTACAACACTACCAGCCCTAAAGGAATACATGTCTGTGAACTTAAAGCTAATTGTTGTTTGTTCAAATGTGTGGTTTTTCAATGTGCAAGTGAATGACTGAATGATGGTGACTCATTGCTGGTGGCCGGTAGCTATCTGTTGCCGAGGCGGGTGTCCAGAGAGTGTGTCTGTGTGTGTAAGAGTTACGTGGTGTGACTGTAGCTCTGTCAGACGGCAAACAGAGGAATCTTTCTCAAATCCACACTGGGCCGCAGCTTACAATGAGCTCACGCAAAGAATCTGCGTCTTACGCGTGTACTCACAAGGACAACAGGCACACCCTCCATCCCCTCTGAGCAAATATTAAAAGAGACTTCACTCCCGGCTAATCTCATTCACAAACACTCCTGAGCACACACAAACAAGAAAAACACATAATTTAACTTTATTAACCTAGTCCTTTACATGCAATGTTCCCTTATAACTTACCATCGCTCCCACAGCCTCCCGGACAACAACTGAACAGCACATTGATTTACATATAGATAGAGAAGTGTTTATAAAAACACATTTGTATATAATCGCCTGAGGCTGTGTTGTCACTCATCAGGCTGATCAAAAAGCAGCTTCTATACAACACTGATGAATCTTGGAGCGCTTTAGAGAATCTGTCCTTCAACAGTGGAAAAAAAGGAGGTGAGATAAAGGGAGAGAAATCAAGGGGAGAGGAGAGGAGCATCTAAATATAGAGACTCACATTTTGGAGTCAGAAAAGAGACAGTGAAGGGTAAGAAGGAGGGTGGGAGACGGGAGATGCAAGAGGGAAAGGAAAAGTGAAGAGAGATGGGGAACAAATAAGAAAGCAATATAGGAAAAGTAGTGATGAAGAAAACAAAAGAAGAATGGACGACAGATGGGGCGTCAGTGTAGCTCGAGATCGATGGTTGCAGAGCCTCAGTGGGCTTCTCCTCTACTGTAGCATTGCTAACTGGACTACTGGAGAACATGGAGGACACTTAATTTTGTCTGCGAGACTTAAGAGTTCAATATGCCGCACAGTGTATCACCACAGACGTTCATCAATACGTAGCATCGATACTGAGGGTCTGCCCCTTCAGCAATCTTTTTAACAGTTCCAACACAGACCGGCTTGCGGTATTGTGCTGAGTAAATTCTAATAGTGATCAGTGAAGACGCAAAATCATTGAAGTTCTTTGTCTTCCTTGTTTGTGCCGTGTTTGGCTCTTCAGGGAGGAATAGCAGCAAGGAAACTGATGGAAAACAAACAGCAGATTTCAAGTAAAGTTTCAGGGAGAGTTTCCTTTGTTTAAGTGTAATTGATGGAACGCTTCTATGGACTTTTGCATGGTGTGGCTTGAGGCTACACCACGTCCACTGTGATTGACGAAGAACGACCAGACAAATGCCTCACCTGGATCCTCTTTTCTGTCCTGTCCTCTCCTGTCATCCTTTCTACCTCCTTCTTATCCGTCAGTCTATCCACGTCTGCTCCAATGTGGTTTGACGTGTGACTGTCACCTGTTGGCTAACATGAAAAGCAATGGCTCGCAGGCTTTTGCTTCTTTTCCCCAACGACAGACATGGAAAGAACTCTACATTTAAGTACAGTACCAGACTTAAGGGAAACAAAGAGAGAGAGAGAGGTATAGACAATAGGTCCACTGTGCAAACTCCCATGCTCTTGCTCACCATCGCTAAGGACAACACCCACCTTGGAAACCTAGTTTTGAAGAAGTCACACATTCCCACATCGTGAGGCAGTGCCAGTATCAGGTGTCCATCCAAACCACCAACCACCGACAATCAACCGCCACCCCCTTCGTGACACACCAGCGCGCACACGAAAACAAACGAGAGAAGGGGGGTGGCACAGAAGACAGGAGGGAGAGAGGAAGGGGTGCGGGGTGAGTAAAAAAAAGAAGAGGACAAGAGATAGAGCCAGCCAGAGACAAAGGCAGACAGAATGACAATGGATGAAAGGAGGAAGAGTGGGGAAAAAATAAAATAGACAGGACGAGATGAGGTGAAAAGCACATTGCCAGCTCACCGTGTGCATTCACAGGGCGACAAGAGAACACAAAGACAGTAACAATGAGGATGTGTGTATGCATCGGTGATGTATGTGCAGATGCAACATTGGAAGTCACATCAACAAGGCCGTTGGGGAAATTTGCCCCTCACCACTGAAAAGGGGATGTGAACCTACTCACTTCTGTTCACATTTGGATTGGCTTCACCTCTATTGTTGATAAAAGGGAACTGACTTAGGGGAGCTCATGATGAAGTGTCCAGAAACAATGATAACCCTCCATTTTAATCACTGATTATAAAGTCACACTTTTTCAGTGCAGAAAAAAGAATACAAATAATCCAAGTTCTTCTCACATTCGAACCTAAAAGCAAAAAGTTATCTTAACAACAATTGTTTCTGTTTCAGCAGAAAACTGGAAAACACGTTCAATGGCTGCTAACGGTTGCTAACGGTTGGATTAAGGGGATGTATAAATATGAGCTAGGGTCAGGGGGAAGGATACAAATGAGAAAGAGAACAGGGAGAGGGTAGAAATGAGAAAGGGAGTAGAGGAAGGGTAAAAATGAGAAATGGAGTAGGGGAGGCCACAGGAGGCACCTGGCCCACTTACAGCAGAGGAGGGGGTGGAGGAGGAGAGGAGGAGGAGGAGGAGAGTTTGGAGATTAAGGAGTGGGAGGGAAAAGGAAAAGGAGAAGGTGGATGAGGAAGAATAGCAGGGAGAGGAGGAGGACGGAAAAGGTGAGGAGAAAATAAAAGAATGTGAGATGAGGAGGCAAGAAATAAACAAAGAGTTGAAATAATGGGAAGGGGGAGGAGGGCAGAGGGGGAGGTGAGATCAGGAGAGACAGAGAGGAGGTGGGGGCTGGAGAAGAAGAAGAGGTGGCCTTGTGAGGCGGAGAATGGAGGTGGTGTGTGCGTACGCTGGATGAATGTGTGCGTGTGTCTTTGTGTGGGTGTCTGAAATTATGACGAAAAACTAACACCTCACCCAAAGTATGAATAACCGACCACAACAGGCCAATGAAGGTTCAATCTTCTTCTCCCAGCACATTGGAACAGCCTGCCTATACCACTAATATCCCACTAATACCACCCACAGTCCTCGCTCCACCTCACATCAATGAATATTTCATGTCCTGATGGCACTTTTAAAGCAAAAACTAATTAGCAAATCCAAGTTGATCTGGCATTAGTCATATCAGGCCAATTAAAAGCCCAGTCCTACTGTACATGTTAATGGCAGCGAAGTGGAATAATTGTATGTTGAGCAGGGGAGAGAATGTTAAACAGGCCTTGTTAGCAGCACTTTAGCACTCTAGCCAGAGTCCATGGCTGGATTACAAAACTCTACAAAGCAGAATAATGTTCATCAGAAACACACACAGAGGCACACACGCGTTTGAAAGCGCCAAATGAAAACTCTATCCATTAATTAGAGTGTCGCCATCAATTCCATGGAGGTCAGGTCTGATGCTTATAGCTAAAGAAGATAAATATTTCCAGGGAAAATGATGGTTTTATGCTTTGGTAATAATATTAAACAGGGATCCAAATATTGGCAGAAGCTCACAGGTCAGATGTTAGGCAGTATCGGTGGGAGAAAACCATTTTCTTCTCCACACACTGTTTCTGCGGTCAGCTCGAGTCAACAGAAGGTTATGGAGACAGTTTTTGTGTGGTTTGGAGTACAGAAAGGTGTTGGTTCGTATTTGAGTCTTTCCAACCTTCCCTCTGGTTGTTTTTTTAACGCAGGAGTTTAGATTGAGACAGACAGCACCGACACACACAGACTAAACTGTGCTGCACAAAAAAGCGACAGAATAACAAGGGCTAGAACTCTTACGGAGTGGATGTCTGTTTCATCACCCCCCCCCCCCCCCCCTCCCTCCCCCCCCCATTTTCTCCCCTTAACGTTCCCTCTTTTCCTTCCTCTCTCTGCCTCCCTTGTCTCCCTCTCTCACCTGAGCTTTGATATGGAAATCTCTCACCAGCCACAGCCCGAGGCTGACTGTTTCTAAAGATGTATTTGCTCAAAGCCGCTCAATTTCTCATCAAATACTCACACTGTGTGTATAAAAGACAAACTCTTTCACTCGGAAAAAAACAACTAACAACCGCATTCAAATACAAGGCTTTCAGCTGTCTGTACACTGCAAAGACATTTTTTTCCAACCAAAACCTTCATTTCATTATGAGCTTATGAAATGGGTCTAAAAATATAGTGATCCTTCTGCAAAGTGTATAGCTGATATGACTAAATATTTGGTAGATACTTTGTGTGTGTATCTTTGTCTCTGTGTGTGTGTAGACAGTTATTTCCCCCTTGTTTACCAGTCCTGCTCAGCTAGATAATTATACTGCAATACGATGCCCAGCCTGCACATCTGAGATATATAAAGTGACAAAAAAAAGTGTAAGATTTTCAAAAGTAGTTAAATAATTTAGGGTAAGTTGGAAAGCCTGTAAAGGAAGACAACATCTTTTGTCAGTTTCTGGTGAAAGAATGAAAATCATGAAAACAATAACCGGTCCCGTGTCAGCTCATTAGTGGAGTCATATCAGCGGTTTATAATGAGGAAATTAGAATCACTGTCATGCAGGTCAATGTGATCTTTCAAAGAGTTGTGAACAGTGAGAAAACACTTTTTTTTAGATTTCAAACATAACGTTGTATATATTATAAACATTTGACAAGTTTCATTCAGGATATCTTTAAACATAAGGTGAGTTTTAGTTTGGGGGTATTTAAAAATTCAAAGCATTATACATACCACTATAAGAAAGTCACATTAATGCTAATTATTCTTTGCAAAAAATATAGTCTGAAGATAATATATACTATTTCTATCGTTTAAAATGAATGCTAATTGAAATGCATTAACCTGACGTGTGAAATGACTGCCATCCTCACTTTAATTGCTGCAATATTTGTTATGACAGCATCTGAAAAAGTGAAAATCCACAGCAAATGAAAGCAACAATTAGGAGTACACATAAAGAGGATTCTATTTCAAGGCTGGACCGACGCTGGACATTGATGCAATTGGTAACTGCTGTTAGAAAATGTTGTAAATTCCAGAAAAAAAACTCATGACGCTGATAAGCATTGTGTGATCACGAGGCTCTGGTTGGAGTGAGTTGATATGCTCTGCATTCCTAAATAAAAGAATCACACACCCTGATAAAAACACAAACTGAAAAAAACATATTCTCTTTTCTCAGGAATGTGTGATCCAAAAAGGTGTTTTGCAATATCAACAACTCCTAAGAAAGATTCTGACAACCTGTCGTTTTCACTGAACAAATACCCTCTTTGCATTTATTTTTTAGCAACAATCAAATTATAAATACGCTTCTGGACTTTCAATTCTTGCTTGTAGATTATACAAATTAGAGGTAAAGCTGAGAATTACCTCCTAATTTAAAATTCATAGACAAAAGAACAAAAGGAAAGAACAAGAGAGCTTATTGCTTTCATTGACATTCTGCCACACACACACACACACACACACACACACACACACACACACACACACACACACCACACACACACTACACAGCACACACACACACACACACACACACACACACCCACACACACACACACACATCACACACACACACACACACACAGCACACCACACACACACACCCACACACACACACACCACACACACACACACACACACACACATCACACGACATCACACACACACACACACACACACACACACGACACACACACACCACACACAACACACACACACACACACACACACACACACATCACACACACACACATGCACACAGCACACACACACACACACATCACACACACACACAACACACACATTACACACACACACACACACACACACACACACACACACACACACACACACACACACACACACACACCACACACACACAAATATTAACACCTACATTAAAAATACAATTTTTTTTTTGGAGAGTATTTCTGTGTGGTGAGCGCGTGTGTGTATTTTGAGGTGGGAATATCTTAAACTCACCTGTTCTATCTGTTGGGGGGGGAGGATGAGCTTGTCAGATAGGTGGATAGGGAAGACAGCTGTTACACACAAACTCTCCCACACAACCACCCCCCACAGCATTCGTGTAACCCCACAGGGATTAGGAACACCTGTATTCAGCACTGCACAATGAGCTATAGAGGCAGTTAAGCTAAAAGCCTTGGGAGTTATTAGGGGATGGGGGGAGGGAGCTGCTTTGGATACGGGGGTTAATGTTTGCAAAACTGTCTTGACTCCAAATCAGATGTGAGAATGATAATATTCACAGTGTGACAAATGGAAGACAGAGTTGTCAGAAAACTCAGGAGAGCCTTGGCGTGTCATGTACGATGTGTACACGCAAGTGTAAATGGTTCATTTTGCAGTGTGTTAGCCAAACAGGTGTTCCCATTAACAAGTGAGCTCCGAGGGGGGATCAGGAAGAGAAAACTGGCAGAGAGAGATAGAGACAGAGAGATGAATGGAGTACAAGGTGGCTAACAGGGAACAAATGAGTGCTTAGGGATCATTTGCCCTCTTTTTGTCTATATATCTAGGGAATGTACACCAGATTTAAACTTACTGCTCAGTTTATTGTCAGGTTGTCTATAAAAACATTTACTCTTGTGAGGGGGTAGCACACTATCCTCAGGGTTTGCGTAACTTAAACAGACTAACCTGCTACCACACAGTTCAGGAGTACCACCTACATACCAGCAGGCTTACACACACGCAAACAGTGAAGAGGCAAGTGTCGCAAGCTCCAAACCTGACTCCCACCCAAACCAAGCCCCTCGTCTCATATTCTCACCCTCTTTTCACACCCTGACACACCCTCAACGTTTACCACAAAAATCCAAGAGAATGACAACGCCACTTTCAACAAACAGCACATCAGCTTTAAACCAAGAAAAACCTAAAAAATATAGATTCAACTCACCTATAATGTTTAATCAACTTTAAAAAGGTCCATTCATGAGAGATAACACAAGAGGGAAAGTGCTTCAAATCCTCCTTTGCAATCCCACAAGCACACGAGCAGCTAATATTTTTTCCATCTTTCGGCCGATCTCGCCTACACTACTCCTCCACTCATCCTTGTAGCTGCTGTCTTGGTCTGTATTATATTTTCCCCGTGGAACACACAGATGGAGAAGGTGCAGACACACACAAAGATACACACATGCACACACTGATGTCCACAGCTCTTGTAATGGAAACACTACACAGATCTACCTCGGGGGAAGAAACCTCAGTGGTTGAGCAGGGGGCAAACACACAGACACAAAGCATTCTGGGAGATGTTCCGAGCCTAGATGCCAAGGTGTGGCAATGCCATTATAATTGAGGATTGTCAAGATTTAAAACAAAAGATAAGCTACCTTCTGTTCGATAGTTACAAAATGAGCACGGATGAACATGCATGCAACACGAGCTTACAGTAATTGAATTACTGAATAAAGACTTTGGAGGGTTTAACATATCAAGCACCAACCCTTAACTCCACAGCAGGGAGGACAAAACAAGCAGACAAATCCAGTGAGGCTTAAGACAATTTGGAAAAAATCACTAGA